TTTAAACAATGGTTAAGGTCACTCTGAACCATCTGGACCTCTGGATCATAGTGTTGAAGAACTCAAAATCTCCCTTTTTTCTTTTTTTTTTTTTAAAAAAATAGTCATCTGGTAATTCTTAAATGGATCCCAAAATTTCAAATGCAAAATGCCATCCCAAGGAACTCTTTTCCCCCAAGGGAGTAAGTTTACAGTATGATCCTGCGAGAACATATTGTACTTGTCCATAGCCGGTCCTACTTTTGTAGAGATGATAAGGAGAGAAGTATATTACTTATGAAATCATTGATTTGACCTATTTTCAGGGTTCAAAATTTTATAATCAGAGACGAAAATAGGTTTTCAAGCCATTCTAAGAATTTTTTACTCCAAATCTGTCTATTATGATAGAATTTGGAGTGCGAATTATTTTGATTGTTTAAGGTGACACCCTTATGCAAACCACACACTAAAATAATTTACTAGAAATAGAACAGATGATTATTTGCATCTAAAAAACATGCATATTCATTTTCACTTGCACGCAAACAAAGGGTTAAGCATTATTAAAGCTTTCTTGAACTGTAAAACCAATGTTTAGGAAATCACCTCGGCCAAGGTCGGCTTTTGCTCAAGGTGCGGAACTTGGTTCGAACTTGGCTGAGTTATGCACTTATTTAAAATTGGGAAAATAAAAAAAAAAATTCTAAAAAAAAAATCAGAAAAAAGTTTTTGGAGTAAATAGAATCAATAGAAGGCCAACGAAGATGAAAAAATCTACTAAACTCCGGGAGGGGGGTTTAAAATTTTGATTTATACCTTGTATATTGCAGAAAAATTAAGGGGAAAAAAAGAAAGAAAAATCCCATAAACAATATCAAAACTATCAAAATCATTTCTAAGGAATAAACTGATCATTTCTACTTTTTAAAAGTTTTTTTTTTTACTTTGTTTTATAAAGAATTTAAAGGATTTTTGGTAGGGAACGGGTTGGGGATCCAGCTCGTTCCCAAGTCACTTTGAAATTAGGGTGAGGCCAAAGTGACTTGGCCGAATCACTGGTAAAAATTCAATAAGTGATTTCACTCAATTTTTTGCTATGCACATATTTTTCTTTTCCTTGGTTATGCATGTAATATTTGTAAAATTATGAAAATCATAGTCTAAAATAATCACCAAATTAAATCTATGATAAATGGGATTTAGTCCCTTGGCTTACTAGTTAAGACATTAGGGCTGCAACTTCACTTAACCATCCAAAAAGCTACACAATAATTCACGACAATTCATCAATTTTAAACTTCTCCAATTAGGGGCAGAATGGGCCTTGTTGATTTTGATCACCAATAAGAAGGGGTTTTGATTTTTTATGACTTGTCCTTTGTAGAGAGTGTTTGAGAAACACATCAATGGTGTGGATCGTCCACCCATTTATCCCAAGTCGATTGCTTGATGGCCTGTTCAAATTGGTCTAGTTCATAGATATATAAAATATTAAAAATATAAAATATCAAAAAGATAAAAAAAAATGAGAAAAGTGTAGGGACCTTTAAACATGGATCCGGTTTCTACTCGGCCAAGGTTGCATATGTAGAAATGCTGGCCTATTAATAAATCTATATTTAGATGGATTTTTTGACTTAATTTTTAAGGACATATAATCTCCAACATGGAGATCATGAATACGAAAAAATAAGTCAATAATAATTCTAGTAAAAAAACATTGGAACTGTTAAATTCTATTGTTTTAGATGGAACACCTGCTTGAACCCACCTTTAAAATGGATGCTCTACACTTTTTGGACCTCGTGCAGTTCAGCCCGCATAAAACAATTTTCCTTCAAACATTAGTATACATGTAGAAAAGCAAAACAAATATAGAAATGAAAAAGCATTTTTTCTCTTTTTTTTGGTGCGTGTGCTAGAATGGTTGGTAACGATACTTGGCTAGAACCAATTTGGTCCTAACCAATTCCTGGTCTATATCAAGCAATTCTTTATTCGAACTTTTTAAAACTCTACTAAACCTAAAAAGGGTGTTTTAGTCAATTTTCTAATACAAATAAGGTGCGGTCTGGACCGCATTTCTACAATATGCGATCCCAAGGTATAAAACATCTATCTTAAAGATGGATGCAAATAAGTGTTCCATCTAAAAATAATTGAAAGTAACGGTCCAAATGTTTTTTTAAGAGAATTATTATTTCTAATTTTCAAATTTTATTTATTTTTTCATATTCATGATTTTCAAATTAGATATTACATGTCCTTAAAAATTAATCTCAAAAATAGAGTTTTAAGATGTGACTCGTTTCTACATGGACTCACAAAAACCGTGTCCTACAAATTATAAATATGACAATTATTGTTAGGTGGTGATAAAATGGAGGATCTTTTGGCGGTTTTTGGGAAATGAAGAGTTGGCGCATGATAATTTAAGGGGGCATTTGCAGGAGATTCCCCATTAGATAAAATACGAAGGTTCTTTTTGGATTAGATCAAATAAATTGGAGGTCCACTTGAGGAAAAAAATTTCTTATCTTTTATATTTTCCTCCTAATATTTTCTTATCCAAATTACTATAAAAGTGAATTTACCAAACTTTTTAGAAAAAAAGCTTTTTGTACCTCCAATTACTTGAAAAAATAAAATAAAAATAAAAATAGCTTGGTTCTTAAATTTATACAAACCCAAGTTCAATTGACAAGTTCTAATTCACGTCATTCTACACGACTCAAATTCTGAATTTGAGGCTTTTTTTTTTTTTTACTATTTTTCAAAGTTGGGGTTTAGCTCTTGAAAGGAAAGAGAGAGAAATTTTAAAGTGTAATTCTTAGTTTTAGAGATCTCATATAATATAGAAAATAGCCTCAAGAGGTCCTCACATTTATTGCAATACCTTGAACAATCAAATTGGGTCCAAAAATCCATCTAAAAAATAGATGTTTAAGAGGGGACTCATGGACTCATAGAAACTGTGTCCTTTTTAAAATTAGAAAAATCATATCTATTTATATGTGCTTAAAAAATATCATAAGAATTAACAGAGACTTTCCAATATTTGGATGGTTGGATCTAAGTACTACAAAATTCAAACTCTAGTTCTTGTCATTCTAAAAGCATTTTGTATGATGATCTTAGAGTGTTGTAAAATTTTAGAAAAAAAAAAAGGGTACTTTTAGCAATTATTTAGTACGGGGTGTGGTTTATATAAGGTTGATGTCTTAAATAATTAAATTCAAGTTTATATAAGGTTGAGGCGTACCTTCAAAAAGTATCGAAAGAAATCTTTTCATTACCAAAAATCTCTTTGATGACCTAAAAGTTTATTTTCATCTCTAATTGTAAATTTTAAAACTTCAAAAATAGTGTAGATCAAGTAGATCTATAAAACACTTAAAATTTTTGAAAATCGACATTCTAGATAATACATTACAAGATGCAATATTTCCAATATTTAAAGTCCTTTTTTTTTTTTTATGTCCATGTATCTTAATATCTTAAGGTCGGGATGATCGGATTTGACGGTTTTTCAGCATCGAAACAACTTCTTGTGATGGATTTTTGAGATGGGCCTTTAAAGCCTTAACTTTAATAAAAACGTTTTCCTTAAGTAGGTGGTATTTGCCACGAGTTTAACCATGAAACTAGAAATTATTATTTTGGCTTCTTGTATTTAGTTCTCATCTATGGAGTTCTAAATGAGTAAACAGGAGAGAAATATCCAGCCTTTTAGCATGTCCTTAATGTTTAATCCTCATACCCCTTACAATAAGTTAACAAAACCAATAAATCAATTAATGTATTAGAGTATCTTAGTTATATTTAATTAATAAACAATAAGTTTTATATAATTCTAGAGTATCTTATTTATTTTATACATAGTTTTTCCCTTGAGCCACCACCTCCTGGATTATGAATATTCATTACCCCTTGGATTATTAATATTCATTATAATATCATAAGCTTGCCAGCCTATTTTAATGGCTGCCTCTATTGAATTGTTGACCAAAGCCTTGATTTTTTTATTTTTTTTTGACATTTTCTATATCGCACTTCATGTAACAGTTAAGGCAAAAAACCAGAGAGAGATAGAGAGAGATTATATTAATTTCACAGAGGGAAATTTTATAATTTTTTAGAGAGACTGCAATTTTTCTTTTCACACACAAAAGGAACCAAAACCAGGAATTGCTCCCCTCCCAATGCCATAGCCTCTCTCTCACCCCATTGAAACCTCACATTCAAATCGTCTAAAGTTTGGCACAGAGCATTACATGGGGGTTGCCGGGATTTCCAGACATGTAAGTCAACCACCACCTTTTTTCTATTTGTTTTTCTCTCTAAATTCATGTTGGTTTCTCTCTCTGGCCCTCTACCTAATTTCAAAATGCCAATTTTCTCAGGCTTTTCTAACAAACTCGCATGCAACTCAAAACACCCATATTTTAGAATTGCTGAAAACCATATTCCCACTTGTAATTTTGCTCCATATATTCATTGCTTTTGTTTTCGGTTTTACAGATCAGCTCATGTTTATCTCAAAGAGTAGAGCATTGGATTGTTGGGTTACTCCGGTTTTCTTTCTTTTTTTCATTTCTAAAAGTTGAGTCTTGTTTACTCTTCCAAGTTTGTTTTGGGGGCGTTTTTCTTCTTTTACAGAGATTTTTAGAGAGAGAAGAAAAGAGGTGCACGTTTGTCCATAGAGAGAGAGGAGAGAGAGAAAAAAAAAAACTGCACTGTGTCCGATACGTGAAAACTGGACCTGAAACGCAGGCCTTGGCCTATTCCACGCCTTCAAAACCGGCTTTTAATGGTGTCCTAATGGTGAAATGTATGAGAAAATGTGAAGGTAACGTTTGAGGTTTTTCTACGGTTTAGCCCATGTGAGTCTCACACGGTTTTTGGGGTATTTAACCTTTGCATATGGCCTGTTCCCACTTCAATTAAACCTTTAACCTCCACTTGAGTTTCAAACCATTTGGATACCTCTCTCTCTCCCTAAATTGGGCCACTCACTTTCTCTCTCTAAATTTCCTATCACTATCATAAGGATTTTCCCCTCTCTCTTCTTTTGCAACTTGTACTTCAATTGTTTATATAGGTACAGGAACCCTCTGGCTTCTTCATATGATTCTTGAATTGGGGTGTTAGCCAATTGTTTCAGGGGTTGAGAATGAAACAGATTTCCTGATTGTTGTGTTTTTAATATGGGTTTGTTTTGAGATTGCCAAGATTTGTCTTAGATTTCAGTGTCTCCTCTCTTTCTCTCTCCCTCTCTCTAGATATATGTTCCCACTGTTGCATTCAAAGGTTTCTCAACTTCATGAATGACAACTTCTCTCTCTTTCTAGAATTTCCAAGTAGTTTTGGTTTCTTCACTAGAATCACTGCAGCATTGAACATTTTCTCTCTCATTAGAGTTTACACTGTTACCATTTGCCTTCTTTCCACTACACAACCTCTTTTTGCTTGAATTTTCTAACTACTACATGCTTAGCTTGAAAGATCAAACCTTTAGCTGTCTTCTCAATCAAATTGTTCACTAGAAGGGCCCTTTGATCTCTCTCTCTCTCT